CTCTGTTCCAATTACCATCCCTGCCAATGCACTTGTTGGTGTACGGGCAGAAAAAGGCAGAACACAAAAGGAACTGAACGCAGAGGCGTGGGAAAAAGAACAACGGTTACGGGAACTATCAACTCATGTTGATGGCCACGGATGGTCAGGGAACAACTCAGTTCTACATCTTATTTAAAAAATAAAATAAAAATCATAGGTCATAGCTTCTGCTGGTGTAAACTTGCATAGCTCCTTTGGTTTCAGTGAGCTGTGTTCGAGAGTGCAACTCAGTGCAAGCATCGGCTTCGGTGTGCATCAGCTGGGCACCTGGCGGCATGCCACTGTGCATCGCTGGCAGCCGTGCTCCAAATTTGTGTTGGAGCTGTTTCTGAATAACGAGTACCACCCACTGGTGCCAGAGATGCCTGGAGAGTTCTCCCTTACTGGACTATTGGCTTGAGCTGATGTGGGCTTCCCTGTAAGGCTGCCCATCTCTCTTCCTGCATGGGGGAGCTACAGAGCTGGAGAAAAGAGGTGGAAATTAAAGTTGACCTGCAATCAGATAGTTAAATGCATTTAGTTTAAAAAAAGTTACAGAAGGAAATAATGTAATCCAGGATTTAATTACATCAGAAAAAAAAACAATTTAAGTAATTACAGGATGCCATTGGCTGTACCTTTGGAAATAGATTAATAATGATGGCATGCCCAAAGCTGTAGTCAGCTATTCTGTGTCATGGTTTGATGTAGCAAAGAGGTTAAAAGACATTAAAATACAGTGTTTCAAACTGTTATTGCAGCATTTTGGGATTTGGTATCTCATGGAGAAAAAAAACTTTGGCATATTTCATCACCATCCAACTTGACTTCCAGCATCAACATGTTCAACAAAATCCTTAATTTTGGGAAGGTAAGTCTTTATTTGCATAATAGCTGAGTGTGAGCATTTATGTATAGTCAAAGAGTTAGAAGCTCAAAGTACCAACATACAGCTTTTATTGCTTTCGAATCTCCTCTGTTATGTGAATGTGCTTTATTTTGGGAAGAGGAAGACAGTTATTGTGGGTGGACTTTTAAGCTCTGTGATAAATTTATTATCTTCTAAGCAGAAACAAATAAACCAGACCTTGGGACATACCATGAATTACCGAATACAGCCACACAACACCCTGAAATATTTTGCTCAAAACTAGTGTGAATTAAGGTGTTTAGAGTGTTTTTTTTCTTTCACATGAAATTAAAGATATGATGTTACAGACTTTGCCACTGAATTTGTTATTTGCCCACAACACTGCTGCAGTGGCATCAGAGGGACTGCATGGTTATTGTGTAGGTATTGACTACATATAGGAACAACTCCTTTGTAACAGAAAGTTGGTACCATGTAATGGACACCAGTATGCTTGTATTTTTCGTATTAAGGCCTACAAACACTTATGCACATACTTCTCTTTATTCACATGAGGAGTTTGAGGGATTTCAGTGACACTGTTCACCTTAGAATTGTTAGGATTCTATATGTGTGTAAGTGCTTGTAATGACAATGCTTTTCAGATGTCACTACTACCCCTTGAAAGAAGTCTCATCACTGCAGTTAAAACCATCTGAAATAGAGTATTGCTTTAAAGCTACCTTTAACATTGCATCTTGCTTTTAGAGCCAGACCCAATATTCAACTGCAGCAAATCTCAAAGTCATTCTGTGTGAGGTCTTGTCGCGATACATAGCACATCCCGGTCTCACTGAAGAGAAGATGGCAGCCAATATCCACCGAACATTCTGCTTTACAAACTCATCACTTTTAGAGTCATTTACCCAAGAGTTCAGAAGTCAGTTCTCTCAGGTGAGTGCTTGGGACCTTTCCTAGTATCTGCAGCTAGTAGCTGTGTTAGTTCACACACGTTATTGCAGTGTTTGGGAGATAGAAACATGACCCGATCTGGCTAGGAGCTGCTCATCTCTATACCAAAGTGCATGATGAGGCTGAGCTAATTCTTGTGAATGGGATTAGCCCAAAGACCTTAGAGTTGAGTACACAGCTCGGAAAGGCAAGAACATCCAGCCATCAGCTAGTGGCCACTAAGGGTTCTCGCCACACTTAGGTCTTTGTTCTCCTCTTTATTTGCCCTGCTGCAGTGACAGGTAGATAGGACAGTGTGAGGATCTGGTGTAAATAAGAATATTTAAAACTTGGGGAGCCAAGAAATTAAATAATGTATTACCTCTGCCATATAACTTCATCCAATAACTCCTGCATCTGATCCAATGATTCATGACTAAAGCAGTACTTGTCTTTGGGAAAGCTATATAATTAAAGCAAATGAATCCTTTAAAGATAATGCCTTCTCTTTTTTTTTGCCAGGGTAAGGATTGATATTCATTTTTCTTGTATTTCTAGTCTTTGGACTGCTTGGGACATTGTGAATTGTAGGGCTTGTCTAAACAGGGAATTTATTGTACAGTCTGGGGTGTGAAGGTAAAGCACAGTCACTCTCTCAGTTATTGCCTGTCACTGGAGTCATTTGAATGTATTGTTTTTAGAGTTGTGTTACAAGTCCAATGCAAGCTGAAAAACATAGTAAGACACACAGGCAACAAGGGTTCCTATTCTTAAATAACATCTTGCATTGTTATTTTTTAAGGTGCAACGTGACCCCCAGTACCAGGCAGCGTTTGTCAGTGAAATGGTCTCGTTTCTAATGCTCATCTACCAAGTGCAGAATGACACCTCCCTGTGGCATTTCCTTTTGCTGGCCCCAGATGTGTTCCAGGGCAGCATGCAACTGCAAGACATAACTGATTTCCTTCAGAATCCAAGCAGGTAAAAACACAGAAAATGCCATGAGAGGCACTGAAAGTTGGTGGGTTTGTGTTTTGAAATCTCGGGACATCACTTTCATCTTGAAGAAAGGGTGTTAGCTTAAAAGCATGGTTTATTTGGAGGATCATATGGCTCCATACTAACATATCTCTAAAGGTCTTGTTGGACAGTGAGCAGTGTTTTGATTTTCAATGACTCTTGCATCACTTTTTAAATGGGAGCTTGATATGAACTCTTAGTTTTCTTCCAGCCTGCTCAGAAGCACTGTCATGCCCATGGGCAGATAGAAAAGGTAGTAAGTGACAGCCACTGCCTTTAGTGGAAGAAGAGCCCTGCTGGCTGGATAGTTGTTCTGCTAAAGAAAGCAGCTGGCTGCTTCTTTCCAGAAAGCATAGGACCAAATTCAAGTTGCTTTGGAACACCTCAAGCATTTGTAGGGGCCATGAATTCTTTTTTTTTAATTGATTACCTGATTTACTGCTGGTTACCTTTCAAGATTGGTCCCAAAAAAACAGAGAAGAGAGGGAGCCTGGGTTTTAGCATATGGTGTTTTGAACATGTCTGACTTTCAGAAGAAAGTACCAGTTACGTTCTTGCTCAGTGGTTATATGAAAAACAGAGGTGGTTTAATTGCATTAATTAACTGTGCTGAAACACTTGAAGCTGTATGCATCTAGGACAATGAAAATTCTTCTAAAATGGGCTTAGCCTTGAAATCCCTTTCCTGGTCCATAGTTGGGCTAATCTCTCTCTGATCTCTAGAAGACTTGAGTTACTCAAGAGATCAGGGGACTCTTCCAAATCATCTACTGGATGTGTGACTCACACTGCTATAAACTATTCTGAATACTCCACTTCTTACAGCACGTGGAGGACAGCAGGCAACCGATTGTCTTCAGACTTTTTTTTTCCTTGGATACATGAGCAGTTGGGTAAAAATGCCAAAAGAGGTTGTAGAAACTTTGCCACTTTGATTACAGCCCCCAGGCTTAGAGGGACTCACTTCTCATCACTGGCATGTTACCGAGGCACTTAAAAACCTGTACATTTAATATATGGTAATGTGCCATACTGCATTGTGAGAACTATTTGTAAGTTGTAATGTCCGTATCCTTAAAAGAGTCAGTAGCAGTGTGGCAAGAATTTTAATTTTATTCAGAAATATTTTGTCCCTGCTGTTGTTTCAGTCACAGGATTATTGCATTTGTTTGCATTTACTGGCTTGCAGAATCAAGTCTGAGAGAATCAAGCACTGTTTGAGTGCCCAGGAAGAATTAATATTTACTGTGCTGCTCTGCTTTGCTCCACAGCTGCAGAGCTGGGCAAAGTTATCATAGGCACAACAAAGAGGCACATAGAATTTCATCACCAGAACTGTGCAGTGCTTTTATGCCTAGCATCTGGCAGCGTAAGTGCATGTGTAAAGAGTTATTGCAAAGAGATTGCACAAATACTATTTTTAATGATGCTTACAAAAGCACATCTTAGCAAGCCTGGCCATGTCTTTTATTCAGGCAGTACTGACCTTCTAAAGAAATGTTATACAGGGAATCTTTTTGTAGTATAATGTCATGGTTTAACCCCAGCCAGCAACTAAGCACCCCACAGCCGCTCGCTTGCTTCTCCTCAGTGGGGTGGGGGAGAGAATCAGAAGGGTAAAAGTGAGAAAACTCATGGCTTGAGATAAAGACAGTTTATAACAAGTACAGCAAAAGCTGCACGAGCAAGCAAAGCAAAATAACGAATGCATTCACCACTTCCCATGGGCAGGCAGGTGTTCAGCCACCTCCAGGGCAGCAGGGCTCCATCACATGTAATGGTTACTTGGGAAGACAAACGCCATTAATCCAAGTGTCCCCCTGCTTCCTTCTTCTTCCCCCAGCTTTATATGCAGATCATGATGTGATGGTGTGGGATATCCCTTTGGCCATTTGGGGTCAGCTGTCCCAGCTGTGCCCCCTCCCAACTTCTTGTGCAGCCCCAGCCTCCTCGCTGGTGGGGTGGGGTGAGGAGCAGAAAAGGCCTTGACTCTGTGTAAGCGCTGCTCAGCAGTAATGAAAGCATCCCTGTGTTATCAATGCTGTTTTCAGCACAAATCCAAAACAGAGCCCCACACTAGCTACTGTTAAAAAAAAAAATTAGCTCTACCCCAGCCAAAACCAGCACATATAATTATGAAGATGCAAAAGAAAAGAACTTTTGCTCATTGTGGCATCTGTATTAACCACATGATAAACACCACCACTGTGAAACAGTAACTCCAAAGTCATGAATTCTAGAGAAAGTTTAGGAGCAAATTTTATTACCCACACAAACCTGGTTTACAGACTGAATTCACAAATGCTCCTGTTTGTTGCTTTAAGATAGTTTTTCAGATAAGCACCGAAGCTGAACTTTGTCTCTAAAGCCAACATCTGCAAAAGCCCTGCAAGTCTGAAAGAAAAGGGCAACAACAACACTTATTGCTGTGCTTGCTACCTTCTGATCTGTATGATATGCATCCATTTTTGGCAAGCTTATGCCTCCCTCTTCCTTGGCTCTGTCATTGCTCAACTAAATATTTCATTTATGCCTGCAGTTTCTTCTCCTTCTTCCCCCTCTAAGACTCTTACTAACAAGCACCTCTGCAGAATGGAAACGGTGAGCACCAAGTCCATGAAACTTGCACGGAGACATTATGCTAAATGAGGAGAAGAGGTCCCTGGTGCTCTGTTCTCACTAGCAGTCTTTTCCAACAATTCAGTATGTATTTATTCATGCCACTGAAATCAGCTCAGCTAGGTTCTTTGTGTATCACCTGCAGAACTTCAGGCAGGCAAGAGATTGTGCATTTCACAGTGACCCTATGCCTACAGTGAAGAGCTACTCTTTATACAGGAGAAGCAAAAGGGACTAATAATTGCTGTGAAGTTTTCAGTAACCTGCACACATTGAACAGTCAGTCTTTTAAATGACTTCCTCTGTGATACTGTATGCCTGATTATCAGCCTCTTCTTTCCTAAGACTGAAAAACATTCCTTGCTTCCCTGTCAGCCTGGCTGTTACAGTATAAAAGAGGAAAGAAGGAGAATTGGAAATGGTAACTGTTATTTGTGACTGCTTGTTCCGTCCACAGATGTTGTCCCCTAGGTCCCTGCTCTCCCTTGGGCCTTGTCTGGTTGCTTCTTGGTTTCTTTTAGGAGGACATTCACCCACAGCAGTGAATCACTGCACTGGCGTATCACCCAAGTGTTTTCCGAGCCCTATTGTGAAGATTTAAGTGGTCTATAGATTTTGCATAACCCTTTGAATAAATACATCTAATGAGTGCAACATGCATGTTTATGCTAATATACTGCCATGGCTTTCCCATCAAAGCCCTTTGTATTTGTATTTTGTGCATGATCAAACAAATAATTAGAAGTAGGGGCAATGGCTTGTCTGTCAGACATTTTAAGAATGATAGGCTGTACTCCAGCTGTTTCCTATTTGAACACTTGTTTTATTTCTTCTCATAAACCTGTAACCACAATTTATTTTCCTTGGTTTTTTGTTTTGTTTTTTTTTTCCTCGTCCCTTTAGTGTTGTGCTGGCAGCTCACAATGTCTCTGCCTCGCTCGTGACTGATGATAGATTCAAAACTGTTCAGAATGGGGTTACAGATCCTCCATATTCCCTGAACTGCTTGGAGCAAGGTAAGGCTCCTCCGTATAGTCATATCTCTGCTGAAAACCTGTCATGCTGAGGAGAAGCAAACTGCAGGCTAATAAGTAACCATACAGATTGCCTACTGTTCGGGGCTCAGGATAATGAATTCTTCTTTCAACTTTTTACAAATGTGAATAAAATTACCTCATTTAAAAGTAAGAAGTAAAAAAGCTTGGTTTTGTCAGTACGCAATGAAGGAGTTTACAGTCTCAGTTGAAATGAGGAGCAGTAATTTTGGAGGTGGGTGGGTGCCAAAATCTGCCTTTAGTTATGGGCTCTGTCAACCTCACCTTGGTATATCAAGGTAGGGGCTTGTGCTGGGCTGCACAATGAGCTGTATACATCAAGATTAGTTGTTCTCTAAACCCCTGTTGGCTTACAGCAGAGGCAGGGTCCTTGACATCCACCTTTAACTGAGGTTATGTGAGTGGGTAAGGGAAAGGTACAGCATCTAAATGCTACAAAGGACAGATTGGTAAATGCTATCCGTTCTCTGCTTGTTTCATGGAGATTGTGAAGTTGAGGTGGATAAGAAGAAAGCAGACTAATGCAGTGCAAGTAGGGAAAATATGGAGATGTGGCTAGTGAGAGGACTGGGCACGTGGGGATATAAAGATGATTATAAATGGCTATGGGAGATATAAATGATGCTGGAGATGAAGCCTATGTGTGAGTAGTAAAAAGCATTCCCAATGAAGGGAAAGAAACAGTACTAAATATTAAGCTACCTTATGCTGCATTATTGTTGGCAAAGTGCTCCTAAAGCAGGAGGAGAGCTCCATTAGCACCCAGATCACAGGGGCATTGAGCTGTTCCTGAGATGGAAAATCATTTCTGTGATGGCAGGTGGCATCCTGACTTCCTTTGGAAGGCCAGGAAGAGTTACACCCCAAAAGAGCACTCAAATTTCTAGCCTGACCTAACAAGATCTAAGGATCTTGTGTCTTGTTGTAGGAGCCTAACTTCATATATGTATGTTACCCTTGACAGATTTGCCATACAGCTCTTCTCAGTTTCCAAACTAATGTGGACTTTACTAATATACTCTTTACATGTTTGTTGTAGATAAAGAAAAAAGTTTGGTGACCAGATATATTTGTAATCTCTTTGCTAACTGGAAAGACAATTGGACTTTAGTATCTGAATTGGAGGAAGTTCTGAGGTAAGATATTAGCTAAAGGGATATTACTAACAGTATAATTAAAATCTATGATCTTTGCTCTAAATCACCTTACATTTCTACTTGCATTGATTTCATATTCACTAAAATGCTTTTTTTTTTCCCCTCCAGAAAAATAAAGTCACCAGAGATTGGTGGAAAACACTCCAAGAGGTCCATTAATTCAGATGATTTAGAAGCCATACAAAAGTCTCTACATCATTTAAAAGGCTTTGAGAAAAAAATGAATAGAAGTGAATTAAAAAGCTTAAATCTATTCAGAAATTTGAAGAATGAAACATTACAGAAATTGTATGCAATTCTTGAACTGGGAATGAATCCACATCATGATTATAAATTAAAGGAATCATATAATAAGGAAATAATTGATGAAATCTATAACTTCACATCAGTGCAATTAGAGAGTGACTTTAATGGGACTTCCATTTTCAATATAATGACCCAGTGGAAAGAAATTCAGAGTGCTTTAAAATTAGCTACAGTGATTTGGAATCCAGTTCAGTTAAATAATTCTAATTTTAGTACAGTGCAAACTAAGGATGCTCTCAAAGTGTTGCTCTCCACTAGCACGCCATCATTTCTCGAAGACTTCAGAGACCGTTTAAATGGAATACAAGAAATAGCATCTTTGTTTTCTGATTATCTGCTTAAGCCGGTGTCCTACAACAACTTTGCAGACCAGATCCTAGCTCTTCAGAAGATATTTTTTATAATGACAGACACAAAAATAGGTTATCAGTACCTACTGATGCCTGTATTTGAACTGATGCGGAAAGTAGAAAGCTCCATGGGTGAAGCCCAGTGGGATGAGTTGAATGCCTTTTGGCGCTTTGGGGAGAAACTGAGATCGATGAAGTGGAACAACACGGGCATCATAGCCTATAGGCAGTTTTTAGAGGTATTAAACAGCCATTTACGAAAGCTGAATAATAATTCAAATGTCTTCAGTGAACAATTAGATCAACTGTCAGAATTTATAACAGCTGTGTTTAAAGAGTTTGGGGAAAACTCTGAAGTAGCCAATATCTCACTAGTCACTCAAGCCATACAAAAGACCTTGTACATATTAAAAGACTTACAGCTGAATTATAATGTCAGTAAATTAAAATCTATAGATCTTTTCTTTAATTTTGACAATAAAACCTTTGAGAGCTTGTCTGAACTTCTGAGGACAGGAATGAAAATCATTCATTATACAAGTGCCAGTGAAGCTTCCAGTGAAGAAATAATTAACCATGTCTATAACTTAACACATCTTCTACTTCAGCAGTCCAGTGAGTCTTCCTTATGGCACAATACTTCACTAGAGGCAAAAATTTGGGAGTTCTTGCATTTAGCCTTGAGCCCTTTCCTTGAGAACAGC